GAAAGAAAACTATTTCCTAAAAATCAATTGGTACAGTATGAGAAAGCATCAGTTGTATACATGCAGACATATTGATGCATGCATATTAAACCAAGACTGAGTCAAATCTTCCAAACCTTTATTTAACAACCGTACCTGTTACTGGATACTGGCGGTATCCAACCTTGAAGTTTCGGACCCCGGATTGAATTAGTTCATCAAATATGTCGGCATCAACCTCAGCATCTGATGTATCAGTCAGATTGAGCAGGCCTTCAGTTAGAAGTTGAGACTCCAGACTACTTTGTCTGTAACTGGGAGATATAACAAATAAATGACAATACCATGTCATTTAGACTTCCAAATTGACCTTTTTTAGTGACTTACGTTTACAATTATAATATAGATACAAACCTTCTTGAAGACACTGGAGAAAATCTAAGTTTTCATCAATTTGTGGAACTTTAATGTATTTCTGGACTCCTCCATATTCCACCTTTGCCAGCATTTTCTGTATACATTTTAGTAAGTTAATGAGAAGTAGCTTTCTACACAATTGTATGTAATTAAAATTAATAAATGAACAATCATTGTTAGACATCGCATAAATGACATCACATATATATCTTACCACAAGAATTGCGAAGAGAAGATATTAATTAATCTGCCGTTTTCAAAAGCAACCTTAGACACAAACAAGCTTTTGTTATTTTTATACAAAAGACAGCACCTAAAAATGTAAGATGTCACACAAAATAATTGAATACTCTTAAGTACAACACTGTAGGTGATCTACAGTATGCAAGAGATAAAATAGGTAATAAAGCAATACCAAATTGAATGTAGAACACCTAAAAGAAAAATATAGCTCAATCATTGTAAACAAGCTGTAATGCTGTGACGATAAATTATTCGCCACCTTTTCTAAATGGTCTAGTAAAATAACTCTACGCTTTGATGTATCGATTCATATTGACACGCGTTGCGTTTCGGTGTTGTCTGACCAACCAAAAAGACGAGAGAAGCAACCTGCGTTACAAGGCAGATGCACCAGTAACATTAACCTTTGATGTAGTCTTGCAAGTTTCTATGATTCATTAGCAAATAAACGCAAGCCTTCAAAACACGGATCTCATTAAATACTACCGATATAACGCTCCCACTCGGTGCCTGCATTCACATAAAGGTTATGTTTGTCTGGTTATACGTTTTTTTCGGCTTGGTTAGCTAGCTGGAGACAGCTGGAGACAAGCCAAACACATCTTATCTTAGCGGTGACTCGCCTGTCTTATAGCACAGCTCAACAGGAAAATAGTCTATCACACTTTTGTCATGAAAACGGAAGTTTTAGCGAACTAAATGTTGGAGTAAGCCAATGTAACCAGAATTATCACTGGTTATTGACGGGTGGCAAGGAACAGAACCGCGGTATAAAGTTACAGGATAACGATAACGTGAGGCTTACGGTGTCTCACTTTTAGACAGAGACATAAAAGAGAAATACCAATAACAAAACACAACATTAACAGAAATGATTTGTATTTACTTACCGAACAATGTCAGGGAGCAGTCAGCCGTCACGGCAGACTCTGGTTTGAAGTGGCTTCAGTGCTACGACAATGGGGGCGTGGTGATACGTGAATTTACACTTAAGGTGTTAGGTTTGGAGTTAAGAGTTAAACGTTCAGAGTTAATGTACTACAATTACACTTACAGATTTGATTTATAGATATTTCGTTTTGACACTCGTTTTTAACACCAACTATTTGTCTAATGAGAGTTAAATATAAGGGATTTAACTCTATCAGGAGCATATTTACCTCTACTCTTGTTTAAATTTCACCAACACCAAAATATTAACTCTTCTCAATTTGCTGTGTAGCAACAGCTATACCATCAATGTCGGTCAGCTCTATGTGATCATATCAGCTGTTTTGCATCCAAAATGAAAGCAAACACAAAGAGAAACGCCCTAACAGTTATTTTTGAATGAATGGACTAGAAGGAGAATGGTCGAAAGATCTTGAAAATGTCCCACGATCACTGTGCTGATGTCAGCGACTCTGTTGGGTTTGTTGTTGGTGCATACACCTGTCAGCCACTTGAAAATGTCTAATTTAAATATATTGGGTACAGGACATACAGGCCCTTTGAACAGACAGGAAATGGTGGCTTATCATGCAAGATTAATCATCCGGTACACAATCTCCTTCCCTGTGTGGTGCTTAGTGTTATGGTAGCTTAACAATTCCTTTTTAAACTGTCGGTAAAGAGTCCCGTCCTGCGTCTCTTGCTGATGTTCTCTGTCTTTCAGTTTCCATTTAGGAAAACTATATAATGTAATCCCATGGTATGTTTTTTGTTTTGTTCATTTGTTGTGAGATTGACCCGACACAACTGTGCTTTCTGACTATGTTAAAAAAGTTCAAGTTGAACAGGTTAACGCTAGGTCAGTAGAAATGTTGCCTTGACGACCTGCTGTTGATGATGTCACATTACCATTCCCTGTACACAAAACATAAATAAATACAGAAACACGCCCGATAAATTTCACAAGACAATACAAACTATTCCAAGGGGACACTAATGCCCCTTTCACACCAACGCAACTCCGGTTCAAGCTCCGTGCTAGAGCTTTTCTGGTTCAGAACCGGTTCTTCGGTTTAGCGCCGGCTCTTTTCACACCGCTCAGAGCCCGACTGGTGCTGCCGCTGCTGCGTCATGACGTCACAGTTTACGTCGCTGAGTTTCTCCCCAACGCCGGAGCTCACCTCACAATAACAACGGGCCGGGGACTGCGTTGCTTTTAATCATACGAAGCCAGATTAAATTAAATAACGACTTCTCCAACCTTATACTTTTCTCCAGAGTGCCGTGGTTCATTGTTTATTAATGTGTTTCAGCGGCATTTACCGACCGCTGCAGTGCCGGCTGCTCTTCCACGAGTGTATTCTCCCGTTAGCTCCGGGTTAGCTCACACGGCTCTAAAGTATTCACTGTCTGACTGTCACACAAGCAGCTGATACATATCCCCAGTTCCCCTTAAGTGAATGTGTGTCAGTCTGAATTGACGCTGTTTGGCATCACAACGCTGTTATGAAAGTTTCTCTGGTATAACATGGGTGATGTTAGCATAGCAACCGAAGCTAAACTGACTACTTGCTAAGCAGTTTTCTACAGGCACTTTTTACCGACGTATTTTTCATTATGATTCTACTTGTGATAGTCGGACATGACAACCTGTGCAGCCCATGTATTGATTCCATCCGATAGCTGCTATAATAACAAACAAAACGTCTGCCTGCTCTCCACAATGATCAATAACAGCGAACGGATGGTCAAAGTAAGGTACAAATAAACAGAATCACACGAAGCCTGGTTAGTGTTGCCTGACTTTATAAAGTGTGTTTTTTTTAACAAGTGTGTGGTTGCGTTCTAGTCACTTTGCTCAGCACTACTGCTTGTTACAACTTTTATTTGCCGTACTCGCCTTAAGTGTTAGCTCAGGTTAATCTCGCCCCCCTCCGACGTAAGCGTGACGTATGCGGTTCTTGCTTCTACACGGACAACTTTTTGGTGCTCGAAACGAACCGGATTCCGGAGCTTAGAGGCTGCTCCGCTGCGGTGTGAACAGGAAAACCCGGTGCTTTTCAAGCACCAGCACCGAACCGGCCCTGAAACACCGTTGGTGTGAAAGGGGTATAAAAGGTGATGCACCTGGCTGAGATCAGTGATGTAAAGTAACTAAGTCAATTTACTCAAGTACTGTACTTAAGTACAATTTTTAGAGACCTGTACTTGCCTTGAGTATTTCAATGTTTTGCTAATTTGTACTTCTACTCAACTACATTTCCGAGGTAAATGGTGTACTTTTACTCCACTAAATATTACATACCTTTAGTTACTTTACAGATTTGGATTAATGATGTGAAATATAAACTCTTAAATCAGACTTTAGTTACACCTGGAGTACATTCACAAGCTACCCTGCTAAGTATATTTTTATGTTGATACTTTTGTATTTCTACTAGAGTAACTTTTTGAATGCAGGACTTATAATACTTACGTATTACTACACTCTGGTACTTCTTATTTTACTGAAGTGAGTACTCTCTTGCTGAGATAAATATGGTAAAAAAACTGTGAGGATCAGCGTGTCACACGTGCTGGCCCACCTTAAAGTCAGTCCCCCTAGCGTGAGCCGTTATTATCAGCAGGTAGCAGCGATAACAACACACTTCTGTTGCTTGCCACTCACTCACCATGGGCTGAACACTGATTGGCAGTTTAATAAAATCATATTGACTGCCTAGCTGTAACACATGCTCTCTCCGGGGGTCAACCAGGGTTTACAGAGCACTGCCAGATACAATGATGACATTAGAAATATGAAGCCTTATTAATGCATGATAGTGCACTATGCATATATAGACATGATCTTCAAACGATGTGGAGGGGGATTAAATCCCTAACCAGCCGAAGTCATGATAAAATAACCCTGAGAACTATTCATATCCAGAGACGTCAGTAATGAACCGAAGACAATTCTGAAAATATTCCCTCAATGATAATATGAAAACTTTGCTCTACATCAGCCAATCAGCTTGCTACCCCATCACTGTGAGTGGGACCCCTCAAAAACACGCCTGTTTGCTATCCTGGCTCTTAAATGGTGGAATGAACTCCCCATTGACATCAGGACAGCAGAAAAGCTGCATATCTTCCGTCAGAAACTGTAAACGCATCTATTTTGATTGTACATGGGCAAAAAATGTATTAAAAAAATGTAGCACTTTAAACCGTTAATTTAGGCCCTGTAGCTAATTCACCAGCACTTACTATGGTATGAATTGCTTGGAGTGAATATATCTGCACTTTCCTTGTTGTTCGGAGTTTGAATCTTCATGGTGTTTGCACTTATTGTAAGTCGCTTGGGATAATGTAATTTAATGAACATTCTTATTCAGAAGGTATTTTAAGGCAAACTGTGTGTTTGATAACTGTGTGTGTTCCTCCTGCAGTGGTGATCATGTGCATGGGGGCGGACCGGATCAGAGAGGTCATGCTGGCTGCTCACAGGCGCCGGCTCACCAACGGCAGCTACATGTTCTTCAATGTGGAACTCTTCAATGCCTCCTCTTATGGTAAAGTTAACATCCCATCACTTTAAATGTGTTTTTAAAAACTGATATAATGATAAATATCCAACTGAATTATTTAAAACGTTCTAAAGTCTAAATATGTGAATCAGCTCTCTATTTATCTACTGTGCAGAATATTTAGATTTGAAGGGTTTAGATTTGAATCATGAGTATCAATGTGAGGGTGTCACAGATATGGGGTAAAAGGTAGTCATTTCTTCAAGAGTTGCTAGAAACCAAACCAGAGCTAAAAGTAGAGTGGATTTATAAATTAGAAATTCACCAAGTAGGAATTTTGAAATCAATGATAATATTGCTTTTTCATCATGCAACCATAGCGTTACATGTTCTGTATTTCTACAAGGAATGTTACATGCCCATGGACCCTCCAAGCTTCTACTTTACACAATGCTAGTTAACATGTCATTTGTGCAAAGCAACATTTGAATGAAAGTAAACCTGATAGAAACAGTTTGATTATTTAAAAGCAACTATTTTTGGTTGTGTAATATGTTTTGGATTCGGCTGTGCTATTGTGTTTATTTTCATTTGTATTATTGTATAACCTGTGTCCAGTTAGCCTCTCAGCTCAGAAAGCCATGCCCTGACTTATTAAATCAGTATTCACAATATGATTTTGACCAAACTTGAATATTTAACAGTATTCTCTGGAAAATGTTCTGTCCCTGTTATTTCCATTCTAGGAAATGGCTCGTGGAAGCGTGGAGATAAATATGACAGTGATGCGAGGCAGGCCTATGCCTCCCTGAACACTGTGACTCTGCTCAGGACCGTCAAGCCTGAGTTTGAAAAGTTCTCCATGGAAATGAAGAAGTCTGTGGAAAAATCTGGGTTTCATGACTGCAAAGACTGTGGGAGTGTACGTATGACTGTTTCTCTTTTGGTATCTCTCTGAAGTGACGAAAGTATGATGCATTTGCAGATGCTGATAAGTGATAACCTAATATAGTATATATATACATATATATATATATATATATATATATATGTATGTGTGTATATATATATATATATATATATATATATATATATATATATATATATATATATATATATATACAGTATATAATTTAATTTATAAGTATAATACATGTATATATATATATATATATATATATATATATATATATACAGTATATAAACTTAGTTTATCTCAATATATATCAATAAGGCTGCAACTATGACTTTATAAAACAATATTAATAATCAACAAAATCCTAAATGTACATGAATAAATTATAGTTTCTGAATGAATGACATGTAATCATACACAGACTCCTAACTTACAGTCTGTCACTTCAAAAACCTTTTGCCAAATATTATTTAATCTGTCTTCATCCTGACTGCCTTATCATCACTCTCTTCTGTGCCTGCAAAAGAAAACAAAATGTTGCTCACAAATGAGATTTGAAACTATCATAGAAATAGGTGTTGGGGTTATGGCGGATACAGAGTCAGGAGGTACAGCATGAACTGCCTTGGTCACAGTTTGTTTTCTTATTCTCATTTTCAGCTTAGAAACCACTCTTCCATGTTTTCAGTGGTGTAAAATACTACTAATATTCTACTTGACTACAATTCAGAGGTATCTGGTGTACTTTCACTCCACTGCATGTATTGAATACCTTTAGTTACTTTACAGATTCTGGATGAATGATGTGAAATATAATCAAGTGTTAAATCAGACTTTAGTTCCACCTGGAGTAAATTCACAAGCTACCCTGCAGTATACAAAGTCATTCAAACTAGCTGCACCTTTACCAGCTTTGAGAATGTGGGGGAAACTTCTGTGTAGCAATGCATTGGGAGTCACCGACTCAGGAAGGAGACACGAGGAGAGCTGGAGCTTTGATGGCAAACACTGATGGTTTATTACGAGTTTCGGCCGGAGAATTCACATCACGAGTCACGAGCCAGAGGGTCTGACTTCACGGTAGAGTTGCCACGTCAATTCTGAAGAACTCTACCCCAGACCCATGTATTTAGCTAGTTCAGAGAGAATATCAACATTGTGCATAACAAGATAGAATCATAACACCTCTATCAGCTGACGCCAACAGGCAGGAACAGAGAGACAGAACACTGAGAGCACAGCAGCCAAGGTTACAGGTGCGTGTGCTCAGTCAGGACAGTATGAAACTGGGTCAAAGTTATGGGCCTTGGGAAATATTTCCCCAACAGTTCCTCTCTTTTTATCAATTTTGATAATCTAAAACCTTAGTCTAATAATATTTTGGTTCAATACACAACATCAATTACATCAATAACAATCACATTAAGAACAACATAATAAGATTGAAACATTCAATCACAATGATTGAGACAGCCAATCATAATAGAGAAATCATCTCTCGTCAGTGTTTGGAGCATCTTTTGTCAAAAGCATAATAATGAACACATATAATACACAGATGCACAATAGCAAAATATTTGTTTTAAACTGATATCTTTTATCATTTAAACCATTAGTTAATCTCATTTATCAAACTATAAAATCAAAACCAGCTTGCAGCTTAAAGATTTACTTCAAGGCAATAACTACTCAAAAGCATTTTAAACTTAGGATCATAAGGGATCCAGCTAAGGTATAAAACTCACAGTGGTGATTTGATCAATGTGTAATCTGCAAAATTGCAGTGTCCTCAATTTTTAGGATTACTTTTACGTTTACTTCATCATTACGCTTTAGTCAAGAGTAAGGGACTTAGTCTTAGTAAAATCAATACATTCATTTTAGTCAAGTACATTGGTCAAAATCTGAAAAGGAAAAGTTAGGCAAATATTCAAAGAGTTTTGTAAAAACCTGGAAAGGAAAGATTAAACATTCTTAAAACTTTAATTCATACATTTGTAAATGCTACAACTGATCTGTACCAAATTAAGTCTATCAATTATTCTTATTAGCCATACTTACCTGAACATCTACTTATGGTACTTGGAAAGGGTTCTTCTGTGTTTATCTAATGTTGAATATAGAATATACATTTCTTTAAATTATACTTATATTGTTATATGAATTAATCCAGTACTTGAAACACCATTGTAGGTCTGTCTGTGCATGGACAATACATTACAGAGTAGTGTTGTTAAGCCTGATTGCTGGATGATTAAGGATATTAACATTATCTGTTATAATATTATTAAATACCTTATTATTCAATACCTTATAATCTGAAAATATTAATTTATTTATTTTCTTTAGTGCAAAAGTATAATCTGATCTGACAAAAATATATGAATCACCACTATTTAACACATGTCTGGTCATTGGAAATATAAAAAACAATCATTAATTGTACATCTGTAAACATCTGGTTATTCAAATCAAAGTTCATCTTTGTACGAGAGCTGGAGGAACATGTCCGTCAGGCTTCCTGACTCGTTCTCCTCCTCCCTTTATGACACCGAGTGTCTGGTGTGTAAAGGCATCCTGATACTGTAGATTAGCACTGAGGTGCTGATTGGCTCAAAGTCTTCTTCATCAGAGCGCCATATTTCAACCCCCCAATTGCTCTGCTTTTGTGTGGCTCATTCAGTGAGCACTGTAGCTGACCCCCCAGTGAGACGGAGGCTCATCTGCCTGTATTCCTTCTGCTATCTGCTTGAGAGCAGTGCAACTGCGTATTCCTAGTGGCGCATCCAGGTGTTCCCCCCGTGATGGGAGAGGTTAGGAAGACATCAAACTGCTCCAAGAAACATGGAACCTTGTATTATAGAAGCCTCTGAAGCCCTCGCTCGTCCTGCAGGGTTGTCTGCTAGAGCCCACCGAGCAGAAAGATGAAGAGAAGAACCCCCTCTCAGCAGAAAGGTGAAGAGAAGAACCCCCTCTCATCAGAAAGGTGAAGAGAAGAACCCCCTCTCATCAGAAAGATGAAGAGAAGAACCCCCTCTCAGCAGAAAGATGAAGAGAAGAACCCCCTCTCAGCAGAAAGATGAAGAGAAGAACCCCCTCTCAGCAGAAAGATGAAGAGAAGAACCCCCTCTCATCAGAAAGATGAAGAGAAGAACCCCCTCTCATCAGAAAGGTGAAGAGAAGAACCCCCTCTCATCAGAAAGGTGAAGAGAAGAACCCCCCTCTCATCAGAAAGATGAAGAGAAGAACCCCCTCTCATCAGAAAGATGAAGAGAAGAACCCCCTCTCATCAGAAAGGTGAAGAGAAGAACCCCCTCTCATCAGAAAGATGAAGAGAAGAACCCCCTCTCATCAGAAAGATGAAGAGAAGAACCCCCTCTCATCAGAAAGGTGAAGAGAAGAACCCCCTCTCAGCAGAAAGGTGAAGAGAAGAACCCCCTCTCATCAGAAAGGTGAAGAGAAGAACCCCCTCTCATCAGAAAGGTGAAGAGAAGAACCCCCTCTCATCAGAAAGATGAAGAGAAGAACCCCCTCTCATCAGAAAGATGAAGAGAAGAACCCCCTCTCATCAGAAAGGTGAAGAGAAGAACCCCCTCTCATCAGAAAGGTGAAGAGAAGAACCCCCTCTCATCAGAAAGATGAAGAGAAGAACCCCCTCTCATCAGAAAGGTGAAGAGAAGAACCCCCTCTCAGCAGAAAGATGAAGAGAAGAACCCCCTCTCAGCAGAAAGGTGAAGAGAAGAACCCCCTCTCATCAGAAAGGTGAAGAGAAGAACCCCCTCTCAGCAGAAAGATGAAGAGAAGAACCCCCTCTCATCAGAAAGATGAAGAGAAGAACCCCCTCTCATCAGAAAGGTGAAGAGAAGAACCCCCTCTCAGCAGAAAGATGAAGAGAAGAACCCCCTCTCATCAGAAAGATGAAGAGAAGAACCCCCTCTCATCAGAAAGGTGAAGAGAAGAACCCCCTCTCAGCAGAAAGATGAAGAGAAGAACCCCCTCTCATCAGAAAGGTGAAGAGAAGAACCCCCTCTCAGCAGAAAGTTGAAGAGAAGAACCCCCTCTCAGCAGAAAGGTGAAGAGAAGAACCCCCTCTCATCAGAAAGTTGAAGAGAAGAACCCCCTCTCAGCAGAAAGGTGAAGAGAAGAACCCCCTCTCATCTGAAAGGTGAAGAGAAGAACCCCCTCTCAGCAGAAAGTTGAAGAGAAGAACCCCCTCTCATCTGAAAGGTGAAGAGAAGAACCCCCTCTCATCTGAAAGGTGAAGAGAAGAACCCCCTCTCATCAGAAAGGTGAAGAGAAGAACCCCCTCTCATCTGAAAGATGAAGAGAAGAACCCCCTCTCATCTGAAAGGTGAAGAGAAGAACCCCCTCTCATCAGAAAGGTGAAGAGAAGAACCCCCTCTCAGCAGAAAGTTGAAGAGAAGAACCCCCTCTCATCTGAAAGGTGAAGAGAAGAACCCCCTCTCATCAGAAAGGTGAAGAGAAGAACCCCCTCTCATCTGAAAGATGAAGAGAAGAACCCCCTCTCATCAGAAAGGTGAAGAGAAGAACCCCCTCTCATCAGAAAGATGAAGAGAAGAACCCCCTCTCAGCAGAAAGTTGAAGAGAAGAACCCCCTCTCAGCAGAAAGGTGAAGAGAAGAACCCCCTCTCATCTGAAAGGTGAAGAGAAGAACCCCCTCTCAGCAGAAAGTTGAAGAGAAGAACCCCCTCTCAGCAGAAAGGTGAAGAGAAGAACCCCCTCTCATCTGAAAGATGAAGAGAAGAACCCCCTCTCATCAGAAAGGTGAAGAGAAGAACCCCCTCTCAGCAGAAAGTTGAAGAGAAGCATCCTCTCATCTCGAACGACCTCGTGCTTCCTTGCACGTGGCTGGGGGTGCTCTCTGCAGCCGGAGAGTGTGACCCTCTCTCTCTGACCCTTGGCCTTGAGAGCTGTCCTAGTTATTGGGTTAACACCTGATAGGGATGTTTTCTGAGTGAAGACAACTCAAAGTAATGGATTAGCAC